AAAACAGAAAAACTTTTTTTTTTTTTTTTTTTTACAGTAACTTGCACTGTTAATAAGTGTATTCCTGGTAAATGATTTTGAAGGTGACTACAGTCCAGGAGTGCCAGTTATTCTGAAATGTTCGTGCTTTAACAATGCATCTTAGGTCCCCTAATTTCCTTTGAGTAGTGCAGCTCAGCTTGAAGGACAAAAGATCCAGATGTTCTCTCCTAGTTCCTTCTAACTCTAGTTCTGGGGCCAGAAGAGAGGCTGGGACTTCATTCCATGCCCTCAGCTCACCCTGTTCAGTCTTACTCGCAGTGGGTGGCATGACACTTAATCTACATTCTAAAAACTCGAGAGAAAACCATCAGTTGCAAAACTCACCAAGAACAGAATGAGTCAGAAGAGGAGTCATCTTTTGTTTAAATAATCAATTTATCTATGTGGTATATATTTAAAGACTTGAACCTGTTTTCATATAATTTCCCTCATGTGTTAATAGCTTAGAGATCACTCTCTAAAAAGGGAACCAAGTGCCAATTTTAATCTTTAAAATAAATTGAAGCTTTTATGTCTGTCCTTTTATTTGTTTCCTTAGGTATGACTGACAATATTAACATTTTTGGGGAGGAAATAGTTGCTATGTATCGACTAACTTAAAAATTTCAGCATTTCATGTATCACTATTTGTTTCTGTACTGAATGGCTGCAGTTTCTGCCCAAGACTTCCACAGATTTGGCCTGGAGAGGACAAACTGGCCTTAAGAATGACCTGAATGTGTTGACTGTGAGAAGCAATCATTTGGGTTTCATGGGTGGGGATGTGGCTAGGTTTTGTTGGGTGAGCTAAGACTGAGATAGGAAGCAAGAGTCTTAGGTAGATTTTTCTAAACAGGAGGAAATCCTATGGATATTTTATGCTATAAAAAGTTGGCTTGGAATTCAGATCTGTGTGATATAAACAGATTACTTAATAGTCTCATATTTTGCAATAGGGGAAAAGAGCAAACCCCACCTTATCCTTTGAGATAAGACCTTGGCTCTGCAAGGGCAGGTAACTCCCCAGTTGCCTTGGCAGCTCTGACTTCATGAGGAGGTGCCTCTTAATGTCAAGCCCCACCAGAGTCAAGAAACATGAAGTACAGAGAGACAAAGTGGGCTGAAACGTGTCTCCATTTGTGCGGCTGGTGCTCCTTAAAGCAATTGTGGTAGTTTTCCTCTTCCCTTCAGGACTGAGTCCCAGTAGGAACTATGCTCCCACCTGTCCAAGAGGGAGATGTCATGCCTATGTGTGGCAGTATAACAGAGAGAGAGGTGTTGCTAATGCATGACATTTTCAGGAGGGTTTTTAGATAAGTAGAAAAAGTAGGTACGTAAAAAAGTGGGACAGGATTTAAGACAGAGTAGATAGTAAATGTTAGTGAAAAGAAAGAATAAATCAATATATTGTCAAAAGAATAAATGGATATGTAGTATAAATGAAATAACATGCATATAGATTTACTTTATATACTTTCTTACATTTTTGTTTAAAATTTTTTTAGACATTTGTTTCTTAAGGATCCATCATCAAATGAGATAATTTAGTCTTTGTCTTATCCTTGATATACTTCTGTTTGGTTTTAATAGAGATCATTGTCATTTTTATATTGCTTACATATTTGTGTTGCTTATAAAAAGAAAACTTGAAAACACTTCTGCCTTATCGTCTTTTGTTGTTTCCTGTCTTTTGGAGAGACTAAGATGGTGGATGGTGGCCGTTGTCTTTTTGGAGGTGAGATAGAGCCTCAGCGTTTTACGCCATGAGATCATGACTGGGTCTGGTTTTCTCTGACCTCCTCATGTGGAGTGGGGGGTATGTCTTTGGAGGGAGGTTTTCTTTTACAAAGAAAGCAGGACTTGGAAGTCAATTACTAGTAATCACAATGGTCCGGAACAGAATTGTCCAGAAGGTGCGAATGAAAACCTATCAGATGGGATGGGTGGCCTTCCCAGCTGGGCTATTCTGAGTGCAGGACATGGGTGTCCGGTTGCATTTTGCTGGCCTCTCCTCCGTTACTCACTCTAGTTGCCCAGAAGCAGTGTGTACAGAGGAAACACTCAGGCAGCTCCTGCTGAAGGAAAAGCCTTCTTCACAGAAACAGTGCACACACTTTGGAAACCTTTAAAGAAACACAGTGCAGCATTTAAAGGTGTTGACCCTGGAGTAACAGCTTGTTTTTCCCAGAGCAGGTGGAGTGCTCACGGATCTTTTCCGCCAGGGTTCTTTCTCCTGTAGTCTCTGCCTTCTTGCCAGAAGCCCTACAGCCTGAGCTCTGTGCCCTGCAGCTGCCTAACATTTCTTGGGACATCAGGGATATTAAACATTTGCACATAGGTTCCTAACCCTTTAAGGAAATCTGATGAAATACTATTGGGTTTTTGAAATGAATCAGACACCACCCTTCCCAGAGTTTTCTAGTTGTAGAAAATTCCGTAGTCAATACTGTATGGGTGAAAGCTTTCATTCATGAAGTCACTTCTTGTCTTAAGTATCAACATTCTTTTGTGGCAATAAACCATAGTAAATTGAACTTGGTAGTTGGATTGTGTTGTTTAAGGATCTAGAAATTCTGAAATAATG